GAGAGAGAGAGAGACAAAGTAGAAAGAGAAAAGGAGAGAAAAAGAGAGAGTAAGACGCATAGGTAGCCTTTTACATTATAATAGCATTAATGGGACCTGAGGCCGCACTTAGCGTTCGCTTGTCGGCCAGTTCGCCTCATCGTTATTAACTGAAAATTACCAAAACCAAAATCTAATTCACGTAAATACTATAATTTCACCGCGTGCCGAGAAATCGGGAGTTGCTCTCTAAGCGCTTGCTTTCTTGTATCCCCCCCTCCCCCTTTGCGATAAGATTAACATTAAATTTTTCGGCTTAATTGAACGGACAAATACGCCCGCGAGATCACACATCTGTTTACTGTGAATTGATCGTGCTGATTTTTTTTTATTTTTTTTATTTTGCTCACTTTGCATCGTTTGCTATGCGTTAATCTGAAAGCCGCTTATGTATGCAAAGATAATAAAATTAACGCAAGAACAGATATATCAATGGTTAATCGCAGCGTTTAATATTTAATGAAGTTTTTCCTTTAATAGGATGTGTCAATTGTGGAAGAAAATATTCTGTAACGCGTTTACATCTGGGAAATCGCTGGTATTAATTCTATTTATATTTTGCATATAAACACCTCGCGTATAAATCCAGGAGAATTGCAAAGAAATGACGATATCACTTATAACGTCAATTACACGGCGGAATAATTTTGATTGACGTTATAATAGCCCTAAACGACAATATGCAAATGGAAACATCGGAAAAACATAAATCTTTAATTAGCACAAATTCATAAATGTCAAACCGCAAATTGTTTTCAGCAAAATTATTCAAACCGCACGCTGTATTCCTACGATCGGCTACGCGTTATTGCCGCGCATTATCTCGAAGTTATTTTCCCGGCGCGGATTAATGAACGATAGCTGGTTTATGTGTCGCAAGTGTACGTCGTAATAAACATCGGCGAGAACGTGTTTTAGCGCGATTCCATCGCGAAACGAGTGGTAACTTGCATCGCATCGACGTTACTTAATTTACCGCGAGTTCGATCTCGCGTACGCCCATTTATTTCTCTCCATCGGCTGTTCCGCGCGCCTTGACAATATCATGAATGTTCAATTAGATACGTCACGCTCGATTAGAAATGATAGAGCGTATTGCAGGGCTGTAACCGGTGATTAATCTTGCGGAGAACACCGAGAGATATTACTCCGCTAATATGACCAATAAAATCCTACTTGTATTGGTTTACGTTTATATCTTTTTTTTTTTTTCTTTTATTATTCATCGCGAGAATAGAATTATAGATCCTTCGCTATTTTTGGCACACGGTCGATGCGGAAAAACTAAGTGTTCCAGCGTGATGCGCGAGTGACTGAGAAAATCTTATATTTTACACTTAACCTCCTGACTTCGGTTCGAATTTCGGCCCGAGAATTAGTTGCAAAAAAAAATCTAAGTAAATTTGCCTCGCTCCTTAGCTGTGCGTCAACCATGTAGTGTAAACGTGCGGAGGTCCGGAGGGTGCAAATGTGTACCCGCTGCTACTCCTCTCGCTAAAGCAGCTTGAAAAACTGCATCGTTTCTACATTTGCCCGCCGTTAGCATCTGCCACACGTACAACGTATACGTACGTTGCATGCGCGCAATTTACGGCCGTGCAAATTAGCGCGTCGCAATCAACCAATTAGCTAAGTCATTGTGGCCGCGTCCGCGAATACGACGTATGCAGCAAGCACGGCAGGCGACAAACGGCGAATGTTAATTATCCCGCTAATCCGTACGGCGAGTGCCAATTAAAGTTTCCACGATCCTATCCATCCAGCATTCAGAATTTTCCATGTCCGATCGCTGCGGATTATATAAAATATTGCCGCTTCTGTTTATTCGTTGTGCTTATTAGAAAATTATGTCCGATCGCCGTGCCTGTTTCGTAACCGTGATTGCTTATTAGTTTAGAACTCGCGTGTTTCCTTTAATTAATTCGCAGCGAATAAATCGCGGTTTTAGATTTCTGCCACGAGAAAAATTATCGCCTTTCAGTTTTACTCGCGGTGATCCGAACAACAGTTCAAATCGAATCTATTTAGTTAACGATGCGTGAGGCACGACGCGCAAGATTGAACTGTTCCGAT